TTTCTATGAAGCCACAATTAGCTATAGGGAGGATTTGGATCTTCCTGATTTAGTGTAATAAGGTTTACTTGTTAAATTAATATTATCTTATTGAATATCATTTTTAAAATAACATTAGTTGCAGATAATGGGAAACCATGTAATCTGACAAAATTTCAGGATCACGACTTTTAAAGTGGGCCCCAGACGACAAAAAAATTTCTAGAATAAAATTTAAAAAAGGAAATTCATGCATTCAAAATTTGGAAAAATTTTTTTTAAAACAATGAACCGATTAAATTTATTAAAGGTCGTTTTAATTATTGGAATTTTTACATTAAACTATATCGCTTTAATTGAAGCATCTGACATTTCTTTAGCTTTTAATTTCAATAAAAACTTAATTATTGATAATTTAACGACGAATAATAATAGCGTTGATTCAACTAATAGTAATAACACGCAACCATTATTATGTAATGGTGATGGAAGATTTTGTGATTTAAGATATGATCAAGTGGTAAATACTATATATATATATATATATATATAATATAACAAGTATAAATATGTTGTATTGAAATTTAAATTTTATGTTAATCCTTAGACATATCCAGGTACTCATAACAGTGCAGCTTATAATCTAAGGTTTGATTGTGAACAGACAATTCGTAGATGCAAAGATTCAACAGAAATATGTACAAGACAATATGCTCAATGTTTAGGAAATTACAAAGTTCAATGTGATGCTCAAACATCACAATGCAAACAATTTAATCCTAATTGGATAAATTTGTTATGTGATGGATTCAATAATGTGTGTAAAACTTCTAACGCGATATGTTATGCTTGGAATATTGTTTGTAAAGAATCTGGAAATGCCTGTAATATTTGGGGTGACGCTTGTAATATAAAGATACCCGATTGGGTGTTAACATGTTTTTGGGAAAATAATCCTGGTTATGACTTGACAAGACAATTAAAAGATGGTATAAGATTATTTGATTTAGATACTTGTTTAATTAATGGTGATAATGAGCGTGTTGTTTTATGTCATGGTATGGGATTATCCCGTGCTCTAGGCCAAGAGTTAGACACTGCTTTTAAAGCTTTTAGAGATTTTATTGATGAAAATCCAAATGAAATAATTACATTGGAATTTGGTGATATTGACGGTAATGGTGGAATAATTAGTAGTTATTTACAAAATAAATTAGCTGAATATTTTATAGATTCAGACACCGGTCATATATTGATGTACACAATGAATTCTGATACAACTTGGCCAACTTTAAGAGAAATGATTCAAAATAATCAAAGAATAGTTATATTCTTTGGCACTTTGTATAATCAATTAACAAACAAAGTAAATTGGATACAATATACTGATTATTGGTTTACTGATTCATATACATATACATCGAATGCAACAACATATAAAGAACTTGTAACCACTTTTACGAATTGGTGTCAAAATTCAGTTCAAGTTATCCAAAATGATGAAATAGAATTACATAGACCTAGATGGCAAACTGTTGATGCAACGTGAGTTTTATTTATTTATTTAAAATCCTTTTCCCTCTCTTCCTAAAAAAATTTAATTAAAAATCTTTTTATTTTTAATAGTATTGGTTTAGCATTACCACAAATAAATGATGATTTACTTAACAAAGTGAAACAAAATGGAGTATGCATACGTTCATTGGCCAGATCTGTGAATTTTGATGTTTTAGACGTTATAGCTAATGAATGTGCACCAAGATTTACATATATTTATCGTGTAAGAATCGATTATTATTGGCAATCAAATTTATTTGAAGTAGTAAATCATTTAAATGAAATGAATTTGAAAAAGTATATCAAGTGACGAGTTCGAATTTTGAAAGCATAAATGAACAAAAAACATCAATTATATTAGCTCACAAGCCAGTTTACAAGCTGAATAAGTTATCTTGCTTGCAAGCCAGCTTGTGAAGAGCTTTAGGAGGAGTAATTGATTTATTAGATTTAATTAATTAATTAATAATAATAGCTTTTATTGTTATCAACCACTACAAAAATAAAAGTATATAATAATTATTATTAATAATTATCAATATTTATTATTTATTACCAAATTTATAAAATATTATTATTTTAAATATTATTTAGTTGTATTATTATTTATTATAAAATATTAAATAATAAAAAAATATAAATTAAATGATTCTTTTTATTTTTTAATTACAATATATATATTGGTAATTTATTATGTTGATCAGTGATGTGGAAAATGTTGTTAGTGCGTTGTTAATTGTATAGAGGATACATCTCTGAAATATTATTTGTTGGATCTAAAGATTGAATTATGGTGTTGAGATGATTGTACTATATATTTGTTGAGAAAGTTTTGGTGGTTTTATTGTAATGACTGCATTAGGTGATGTATTATTGATTGTATTGGTAATATTAGTAGTGTTAATTGTTGTTAGGGGTGGTAATTGTTTGCTGTGATAAGATGTCGGCATTACTAGGAACAAAATGTAAATTTTGCATTGGATGATGGGATGGACGATGATGTGTTATTATATGTGGATGAAAGTCATGAGTAACGTGGTGATGATCAGAAATAGACATGGATAAGGATAATCGAGATGATTGTGGTTGTGGTGGTATTGTTGTTATTGTAGTCATACCATTTAAATTATTTAAACTATTTTGTATTACGCCATAAGTATTATTTCCTAATGACATTGGAGCTACTTTTTGGTGTCCAAATCCCATTGTAGGGCTATAAGGTCCATGATGATGATGATGATGATGAAATCTTTTACCACCTTGTCTCATCTCCATTTCAAACCTCATCTCTAATAAACCTGCACGTTCTTTTAAATTCCGATTTCTCCTTTCTAAATGTTTAATATAACCAATGGCTTTAAATAAAATAGTGCTTTTTGAATTATTAACATTTTTTAGCGTTGGTATAATATCAGTTAATTCTTTAAAACCAGCACGAATTGTGTTTCTACGTTTTTGTTCAGAAGCTATATGATTTGCTCTTTTTTCCTCTTCAGTTAATAATTCTTTGTGAGGTTTTTTACTAGATTTTTGTGCTGCTGATTTTATTTCTTGTTTTGTTTCTGTCGTTGTTATTGTTGCTGATGACGATGACAATGACAACGATGAAAGTTCATTCTTAGAATTATTGTTATTTCTATAATTATTACTATTATTATTATTATTGTGATTTTTATTGTTTTTATTATTGTTATTACTACTACTATCAACACCGTTATTATTATCATCATTATGATTAATTTTTATAATGTCATCATTACGATTAATAATGTCATTTTTAATAATTTCTCTGTTAGTAATAAGGGGCGATTGATTACTACTGCTTATTGGACTTTCATCCAAATAATAATTATTGTTATTATCATCACCATTACTACTACTACTACTATTAGTATTGCTATCTATGCTATTAATAGAAAGATTTGATATTTGCATTGGAGGAGATATTGGAGCTGAATGAATTTGAGACATTGATAATTTTGTATTTATTGGTGTTAACCTTGGAATTGAGGAACGACGTCTTGATTTATCATCATCATTATTTTGTTTACGCTTTGCAGGAATATTGGATGATGAGGGTAAATATAAATTATTATTGTTGTTATTGATTAATTTAGGACTTTGTAATGATGACTCATGATCAATCAATGATAAAGTTGAAATGCTATTATTATTGTTATGACTGTAAATATGATTGTTGCCAATTAATAAAACATTTTGATCATTATAATTATTATAATAATTGAAATTAACATTATTGTTTTTATCACAGTTACTATTGTCATTGTTGTCGTCGTCGTTGTCGTCGTCGTTGTTGTTGTTACTTATTTCTAACATTTTAGATGAGGAGGAAGAGCATCCATTATCTAGGATAGGTGATGGAAAAACAGGCATATTTTTTGGCAATATAGGATTAAATATGTAATTTGGATCTTCTTGAAGATTACCAAGAAAATCGCCGAATATAAATTTTTCATCTTCTGGATTTAATAATTGTTGTGGTTGACCGAAATCTTCGGATTGAAAGATTGCAGAGAATTCAGGCACCCAAGTATATTCGACAAATTCTAAAATGATTTTATGTTTATATGTTTATTATATGAGCATGTGTGTAAGTATGCAAGTATATATAAAGAAAAATTTATTTGAATATTATTACCATCATAAGGTGGAGGTTCAGGGATAGATACAAGAGTAACCGAAGTTGTGTTTGCTGTTGAATTATTGGCATTATGTTGGTTGAAATTTGTAGAAGAGTGTAAAGTTAATAGTGGCTCTTGTTGAAAGGTCGTTGAAGAAGCAGACATTTCATTACAATTATTTTGGAGAGAAGATTCTTGTTCAAAAAAACAGTTTATAGAGTCAGACATTTTGTTGTAGTTTTGATTTGCAAGTTTTTCTTATTGACTTAACAATTAAATTAATTTCTATTTTTTTTTTTTTTTTCAATAATTTTTATTTTGGGGAAAGTAACGTTGATAGACAAATTAATGGATAAAAAACGAATAAAGTTGTTGAATGTTGTGGGGTTTTTCATTAGATTTTATTGTTAAGTTTTTGATAATTGATTAATGAGTTAAAAGTTGTATATTAATGATATTAAAATATATAATAATTATTTTTTTCTTATCAAAAATTAAATCGGAGAGAGCATTTATTTATTCCCATCTAATTGTTTCATTATATCACACAAAATGATTTAAGGGAAAAAGAACCCTTATAATTTTTGTATATTATGAAGAATAAATTCATTCATTTTATCAGGTGATTATTAATGTTTTTTCTTGTCTTGAATTGGAAAACATAAACTTAATTAATTAATATTCATGTATAAATAAATATATGAACCTGAATTTGAATATGAAGATTTTGTAATATATGTAATCTCCGATAATGTCCATTGATGATGAGAACTATGATGACGGATATTTTTTTCCTCGTCAACTATAAATATATTTAGAAAAATTGCTGCATATGATTTTGTTCCAATAACTTAATTAATATTTAACATATACAACTCTAAATTTTATCAAGCAAAATTGTTTCTAAACTAAAAATGCTCTTCGCAATGAAATGATGATTTCAAACAACTTATTTAAAATTTCAAATCTAGTTTAGTGCCTGCCAGTCAAACCAATTTAACGTCTGCCTTAGTTCTCTCTAAAGACGGAAATTTTTTCATTTTCTAATATAGAATCATAAAAATTGAAACAAATATTTAATCTTTACCATCTTTTGATTGAAACCATATTATATAGCTCTATCATAATCAAAATTTTGATGATTTGATCCTTTTCGATCTTGCTAACATCAACATGTAATGTATCATTTGTTGTCTTAATAAGGATATGTTAAGAGAAACTACGTTCATTGGGCAAACGGAATTGAATAAATTATATCTAATAATTAAATGAAGATATTCATCATTATAATTGCATGGGATAGTTGGAATAATTAGGTACACACCATGATGATTGATCAATAATTCTAATTCTTCATCAAAGATTTTTAAAACTCTCTAATTTTTGACCATTCCACTGATTAAAAAATATTCATGAATTGAATAAAGAAGAATTTGGAAGATGTTGATTAATTTCTTCAGGGCATTCTCGAGATAATTTTTTAACCAAAGCAGTCATATATATCATATGGGCATATTGTATTAGTATGCAAAAAGTACAAAACAATTTAGGTAAGTGCTGAGCTGTTCACAAATATTTTTTTTTAACTATATTCTGGATTATCAGGATCAAGCCTTTGTTGGCAATCCTCAAAATTTCCCTAATACTGAACTGACTCTTCTTAATGTGTCACTAAAAATCTTTTGTTAAAAAAAAACTACCAATCAATATAACAAAAATCAATTTAATTTACCTAAGATAAGAAAGAACTATGTATAGGCATATTATTTTTATTAGAGATTCTGAAGATATAGTATTTGTTATTAATAACTAGAGAGATATAGTATTTCTCTGCACACTATTATTTTTTTATTACATTAGCCTAAATAAATATCATTGACTTTTTTTGGTAAAACCAACCATTTTATATACAATGATTGGTTCAATCATGATATCATCATTATCAAAACTGTGTCCTGCTATTTTGAATGAAATAATGGTCTAGGCCCCCTGACCCATGGCTCAATTTCATACTTTTTATTGGTTTTTCTATACATAATAATATTTTAGAGATTGGAATCGACTATTTGACTATTTTAGTCAACTATTAAATATATTTTTTTTTGATCAACCCAAATAGCTAAATAGTGATTAAAAATAGTCAATTAAATCATGTGGCGGAAATTGGTCATTCTTGTGATATAAATTTGTGATATAATGGAGTGGTGATCTGCAACATATAGTAAATTTTCAAGTCACTTGATATTACATATGTAAACTTGATAAGTCGGTCATATGGGGGCGAGCTCATATGACTGACTTATCAAAGTAAATCAACTTATAGAGTTTATATATGCAATTTAAAAATGAATTTGAAACCACCAAACTTATTGAATCAATTTTAATGCCAATTTAAAAGTGTTATAAAATCAATACTGTTTTTTTTAAATGTTAAAATATTATTTCTAAATATTTAATTATATGCAGAATAATAATATATTCAGGGTTGTGAAATTTCACTGTACAAGAATCTTCGTATGTATGTATGTACATATGTATGAACATACGAACATCAGAGCAATGATTTTCTACAGTGATAAAATATTACTTTGTAAAATATAATAATAATATCATCATAATTATTGTTATTAAGCCATTAGCCCTATTTAATATAATTAATGGATTACCA